TTATTAAATCTATATACGCGTTGAGTTGTTCTTCTACTTATGATATGATGCATTCATTGGTGCTTTGACCATTGAAAATAATAATTGGCAAATCTATATTTGACATAGACTTAGCGGTAGTATTTGATAAATCTCCAGCATCGAAACTAATAATTATTCGCTCCTGTAGTATAACAAAACAAAGTAAGACACAATATATTTGGAACATAGCTGTGCACGAACGTTCGTAGAAAATTAAATGAAATTTGAAATTTTTAAGAATTACTCATTTCGATAATTTGTGGAAAAGTTTCGCAAAAACCACAATGTGACGGTTTTTTTTATTTTTGTCAATTTTTTCCTTTACCAATAATTAAAACAATACCTTCGTCTAGATGAGATCAATATCGCGGGTCAAGTTAAAATAAGAAGTTCGAAACTATCAAAGTAATCTTTAAATAAATTAATTCCTGTGATTTGTTCCATCATATTGATGAGTGTTCGCTCATGAAAATTATTTTGAATTTTTTTTTGCTTGGTCACGACCGTGATGGAGTAGTCAAATTTGGTCTAAAACCTCATGGTGACCTAGATCTCTGAGCCTAATGACCGATCTCTTCGTACAGTAACGCCACAAACGATAATAGAGGGTGACGTTTTAAAACGGTGTTTCAACATCAGCTATTGCTCTTGTTTATTTGTATTGCACTCCCTTGAAAAACTTCCTACGGACGCTTATGGTTTGAATAATAAAATCGACTGTCTGGTAATGATATTCAAACAATTAAAAATACACAGGGGGGCATTCAGAAGCCAACTAAATTTTCAAAATTTGATTAAAGACAATTTCCGGCGAAAATAGATTTGAAAAGTGTATGAAAAAATAAATTGTGAGTTTGGATAGCCAAAAGTTGGTTATGTCAATATTGTGCGAAATTAGTTAACTAGAATAATCGGAAAATATTTGAAATGGCAACAAATTTAAATTAAATAAGGCTGTTGATATTTGTTCGTCATGATATTATGGTTATTATTCTTTTCTAGGTAATAAATAACGTGGATCAAACGAGGGAGAATCGTTTTCAGTAAAAAACATTGAATTAGTGTACACAATGAGCTTGAAATGGACATTATTGCCTATGCTTACTTCAAATAAATCTCTACAGTGATTTGTATTCAACAATTTTTAATTTAAGTTAACAAACAAACAAACAAAAATGATGTACACATTGGACGATACACCTAGTTCACAAGATGGAATTTCAGATGGGGTCTTTTTTGATTCGGTCGTCTACATTGGTAGCTCAAATGACACAAATTCGACTGTCTCGTCAAGCGATGAAATTAACAGTCTTCGCTATCCAATGACAATTACAATCATTCTCATGTAAGTTGAAACCATTATTTACCTTTCAAGCTCGTAATACTTAATTAATTTCAACCTAATATTTCATACATATATTTTCAGTATAGCTTACAGTACAATTAGCATTGTTGGAATAATAGGCAATGTGGCCGTTTTCATCGTCGTCACCAAATCGCCACAAATGAGGACCTTGACAAACAAACTAATTAGAAATTTGGCAATTGCAGACTTACTTGTGAACGTTGTATGCGTTCCTTTCACACTGGTCTCGAATCTATATCCAGGTAGTTCTGTATTTTATTTTAAAATATTTCGTATTAAAATCACTCGTATTGTACCGCAGTCAAGTGGGCAATGTATACCTTTTCCATTTTGCATAAAATTGGGCTTATAACTGAGTGAGTCACATTTGTTTCCCTAAGCTTTTTATTCGCACGGAAAATTTATTTTGTGTAGTTCAACAGCCCCGTAAAGATACTTAAGAAGCCAACAAGTTTAATTGACACCGTTATAATTTACCAATTTGCCACGTCACAAAACGGTAACATAATGTTATTGCCAAGGGAAAAATGTCATGGAATAAAAATTATGTCAATAATTCATTCGCAATTAGACTTCATTTGTCATTACTTAATCTTCAATGGTTTTCGCTAAAAATTTAAAATAGGCGACTACGGTAGAGTATTTTCTAGGAATTACGATGTGTATGAAAAATGCTAACGATACGTGTTCTGTTGATAAGCGTTATCTGTAGCATTCGTGTATATGATTCACATGAACCTGACCTATCTTTTGTTTAACACAAACAAGGCATAAAATTTCCGGTACTTAGACTTATGTTTACACATTTGAAATGATACAGTTCTGTATGAAGCGCAATTTTAATGTGGTAGAAAACGCCAATGTATGAGATTTGGTTTTATTTTTGGCATAAACAAATACAGTAAGAACTCTCGCATACAAAATTCATTGGATCGGTAGATTTTGCTACGTTTTATCAAATAAATAAAACGAAAGAATATTTTCATGTACATAAAAAGTTTCCAAAGTGAGAATATTTGGTGACGCAGAAAATCACTGAGCGTATTTAATGATGGGATTAAAAACTTTGAGTAAAAATCGGCATTTTCATGGGTACTTCTTTTGAAAATCTACCGGCAAAGTCGTCATCGTTTGAAGATAATTTTGGTTTAGAAGGAAAAAATCCAGATTTATGCTCTGTTGAGGGAAATTCTCCGAGTTTAATATCAAATGAATCGTTAAAATGCCACGAATATTCGTGATGAAATTCTAAATATTCCTCAAGTTGAAGGAATCTCCACAATTTGTTGAGGGACAATTTCTCATTTTTTCAGTCAAATAATTGAACAATTGCAACATATACAGTAGATTGCCAAATGTCGACACACGACCAAATGTCGGAATACCGAGAGGTGAATTGAAATTAAAAATTGAAAATTCATTTGAATTGCATTTTTAAAAGTAAATTATGAAAGATCAATATCAAATCTCTTTATTATAATCCAAATTTTAATCAAAAATCTATTATTGCTTTCACAAATTACGTTCAAAAAAAATTCGGCATTTTTATCACTTTTTCACGTCAAAAGTTAAACTATGTCATTTTGAGACAAGCCGGTAAAATGCGTTTTTTTATATGAAAAAATAACTAGTTTGGAAAAAAAATTATATCGGCGAATTGTAGATAGTTTAATTTAATTATTGAACAGAAATTTTGAAAATATAAAGAAAAACAATTATATTTATTTTTCATTTTTCACTGTAATATTATTCCGGAATAAATCGTCCAATTGCCGACACATAAAGCACCGAAGTTTCAAGTGAAACACTTTGGATTTGACAGATGTGACAGTTAAAGTCGTATTTGGATCATTGTGAAATTCAAACCAAAAATATTCTAGATCAGTGAACTAACGTAATATTTTTAAATATTTTTGCCACTTTACTATAGAAAAATAAGTAAAATAAAATATGGAGCAAAAATATATCAATCTAATAATTTTAACTCCAATATTTTGTATTGTTTACCTCAATGTAAATAGTGCGTTCATGGGCTGTCAAAACTTAAAGTTTACAAGTTTCGTAGTGAAAATGCATGAAATATGTCGAGATTAGGGAGCCGAGAATTGGACGACGAATATCCGACATTTGGAATTTTCGATGTTATGA